ATCAGAAGCTAATTGGATTAGCAAAGAATAAAGCTATACCTAAGCCCAAACCAAACCATGCATTAAGCAAAGGCCCATAAGGAGAAAGACCTAAACATAAATCTGTAGGTAACTGTGGTGAAGGGATGTGGTGCAACTGACCTTTGTTAGCCTTTATGCTACAGTCACACTAGAGAAAAACAGCGTTTGGAGAAGGCAACCAAAACTCATGCAATGGTGGGAAGTGAGCTTGCATTTGCTTTTCTATCAGTTGCTATCTTCGAAATACTTTGGTGTATCAAGATTATAATAGAAATAAGATGCAGTCTGTTTGCGTTCAGACTGCCACCAGTTTGCAGTTGAAAGACAATTGACAATTAGATGCAATCTATTTGTAAATATACAGCAACCGACTATGATAAATCAGTGAAAATTGTGAATCTGCTGCCTTGGATATAAACAGAAATTCACATTCACTATGATATTGAGACATAGTTGCTGCAACTGCAAAATGACATAGGCACTTGGCAACCTTGCTTTTGTATAGGAATGTAACTAGAACACGAATAACCTGGTAATCATTTGACTCCAGTCTACAACTACAAAGAGGTGCATGACAGACACGTTGTGTTCAGGCTTCGATTAAATGGAACTGCCTGCATTTGAATTAGATCACAGTTATTTGCAGATATTTACCAATCTGTCTTAAAGGATTGCAGTCAGTTTGATTTGGACCGTGATTGCTTGGAGACAGGATTACCTCCCCCAAGAGTAACTGGGAAAGGATGTCTGGAATATCCTATTTAGCCTACTGCCAGCAAGAACCTGGCTTTGGATAAACAGAAGATCATGGATGAGTGGATGGAGATTGCCTCTCTCCAGGCAACCTGTCCAGTCACCTTTTGAAAAAGGTCATTGATCAGACACAATGATATCACAATTAGGAACACAACAACAAGTGTGATATTTATAAAGATACTCCTTCTAATGGGCCTAATACCGAATATCATTACCACTGTCTAGTCTAGCATCAATGTTAGCATCACAAAAGATAATGTGCTATTATTATACACATGAAAAGATGACAACAAAGTTACTTTTGCGCTGAACTGTTCCTTTAGAGAATCCCTGCTCTTAATCTAATGGATGGGTTTCATCTTAGCTCTGCGGGGAACACATGAAGCAATGGGGATTTGAGGATTAGACAGGTTATTGACTGTAGTTAGGTCAATTTTAATGCACCTTTGAAACTTTTCTGCATCAGTTTATGCTGAAAATCCTCAAACATCAGTTGATATCACAATACGTTGCGCTTATGCTGACTCCCTACGCATCAAGACGTGATTTATTATTCTGTCCTCTTATGAAGCTTGAGACACAGTGTAGGGAGATGATAAGTCATCCATCTATTGGATATCATCTACATCTTAACTATATTATGTAGTTGTGACTGACGAAATGGAAGGATGAACAAAGTTTCCTTTTGATCACTTAACCCAAAAGCAACAAACTTTCTGAAGCTGAAAAACAAAAGACTCGGGATGAAGTAATAATTCATAATCATATTTTTGAGGGAAAAAGCCGTGACTGATGAAAAAAGATTCACCTCTGTCAGAGGTACCTGAGTGTTGGGTTTTTGTTCCTCTACTTGTTTTTATTATGGGGTGGTAGAGATGACACAGTGGCTCTGGGTTATTTATTTCTGCCACACAGAAATATTGTATCTCATAACAGAATGATGGATAGAGACCAATAAGAACAATGAGGTGTAAACCACAGTGGTCTCTACAGCAACCTAGCTGGAATATTTAAAAAGTATCAAATCCTACCTTTTTAAGTGCAGTAGTGATAATTCTGCTATCTTGTATCTACATTTTTTCTCTTGCAGTAACAACAGCTCCTTCCTCTCTGGGTGTGAGAATGAATGTCTCAACAGCAATTATTAGCGTTACGTTAGTTCAAGAAATACTTTGACTAGGATGTTATGTAAGACTGTAGTCTCTGCTTTGAAGTTTCACCATCATATGTTTTGTACTCTCTCGTCTCTCTCTACCTCAGGTAAAGCTACCTCACTGATAACAGGTTATATAAATAAGCCCCCTCTCTACAGTGTCAGCCACGTCTGCCATCTCTCCTCTGCTGTCATCACAATAGAGCAACCTTGAAGTGAAATGTTGCATGAGATTAAATGTCTGATCTGATGCAGACTAGCTGGATAGTTTGGGACATAAATAAACAAATCATAACAGTTAAAATGTCTTATATGAGCTGCTTTGTTGACATAATGAAAGAGTATTTTGATACTTTTTTATTGCAGGAGCAAAACAAGGGTGGGAAAGGTATATTTGTTACAATGCTTAATATGGATTACTGCATGTAGAATAATAAAGTGTTGGTAATGTTTTTGCAACTTATAATGTAATTGCTTGTCTGTAATTATGATAAAAGAAAAAAGAAAGAAAGATTGACTTCAGAAATACAATGGAAATGAAACAAAAATGAAGAACATGAAATGAGACGTGTGTTATTGGTGTTTTTGTTTAAGCTGAAAATTCAGTTATTTACAAGATTAATTTTTTTCTTATCACTTCACAGTATTTTATAAAAATGCTACAATTTAAACTTTATAATTTATAGACAACTAATCTGGTTGGAATTTCTTCCTTTCTTCAGTGGATTATAAAAGTTTTTTCTCTGAGAACTGCTTTTTCTGTCCTTCACAAGTTCAAGTCATTGTTCAAGTTCTCTTGTCTATTCTCCTGCAGAAATCATATCTCAGTCATTCAATGTTTCCGCCTCTTCACTGCACTACTTTGTCTTCTTGACACTCAAATATACACACCCAGGCAGCTGTCTGCAAACCCACACACGTCAGCTATTCATAAACTCATCTCACCACTCCTAAACTAACTTTAGCCGTATACTCATCTCTTCCCCGATCACTTCTTTTAGTCATATGTCAGAATGGCCTTATGTGATCACTTTCCACACATCACTCTGCAGCAGTCAGGTGGCCTGACTCCTGTCTCAACCTCCTGTGGCCATCTATCTGCTTCTTCCTTTGGTTGAAGTCAAAGTTATGAAGCCACGGTTGCTACTGGATTACGCATTTTGAATCTTCAGTGTCCATGTGTTGCTACCACCATGTTTGTTTGTTTTTGGACCCAAAAGTTACCTTAGTTATATGAAATTACTGAAGTTAGCAACTAATGTGGACAATCTTGGCTAACTACCTGCATTGACAAACTATGCAATGCATAGATAAACATACTAGCTGAGATACTAAAATACTGGCTAGTAGCTGATTAGTCCTAATTAAAACTAAAACACTGGAAAGTGAGGCAAGACTTCTTGGAGGAGTTGTACCATGTAGCAAGGTATAATATTAATCATATTATTAATACACACTCACACACACACACACACACACACACACACACACACACACACACACACACACACACACACACATATATATATATATAGCATCAGCCAATCACCTTCTTAATTGTAACTGTATAGCTAGAAAAGCTGAGAATACGAGGATAGCATGGATTCGGTATCTTGCACAAAATAACCTTGAGTTCTTAAATAATGACAGACAGGTGTTTACAATAGAAACCAGCTACAGTGTTAGAAGCACTGAAGAAGAAGTGCAAGGGGACAGACCAACAGACACTGATGCAACTCAGTGCAAGACTACAGACTACAGGGTGGGAGGAGAAATAGAGGAATAACAGTTTTAAAGACTTAGATTTGCAGTTGAATTTATAATTTTATGAAAGGAAGGGAAAAAGAGGGGAGTAGCATGCTGAGGCAGCTGTCCTCTTGTTGAACCACTTAGCTGATATTAAATTCAGACATGATGACTTCATCCCCAAGCACTTAGCCACTCAGCAGTTATTACATCATCAGATTTGGAATTGAGCCGAATGATGTCATCCCTAGAGGTGGGGCAGGTGATGCGCACATCTGTGCACAGACTGTGTAATGTAGTAGTATAATTTTAAAGAAGCTTTTAGCTTAGACAGATTTTCTGTGGAGATGGTGGCTGTTGCCAGGAAAATAATAAGAATATTTAACTTTGTTACCTTAGTTTCTTGCATCAGACTCAACCCTTGAAATCCTTTATAGAAGTGGTGTTAATGTATTTTTAATAACACACTGACAGTTAAATAAAAAAGAAAAAAAAATCAAACTCGTTTTCTTTCTCAGAACTTGCCATATTTTATAAGTACATACATTTACATTTCAGCCGTCTTTGTGCTCACAGTAAAGGGGACAAAACACAACGTAAATATTATGCGGCTCCCATCTCTTTAACACACAAACACACACACAAACTCACACAGTGGTGTCAGGACACTTTATTCGAAAGACGCGCACCCTCTCACACGTGTGTAAATGCATCCACATTACTGTCCCCGATGCAGACAGTCAGTTCCAATCTATTCTCCAACCACCTAATTTAGGCTTTCTTGCACTTAAGAAAATGATATATGAAATACCACTTATACTTACAAAACATGTTCAACAAACCAAGAGTACAAATAAAAAAAAGATAAATAAAAACAGTCTACATCTTTATGATGAAAACATTGTCATTATAAAATAAACTTTAATAATAATCCACTTTTTTACAGCTGTGTCAGATGTGGTTCATTCTGGTTTTCATATGATGGAATATAGGTTACTATTTATAGGAGGAAGAGCTGAAGAAAGAGAAGAAGAAGAAGAAGAGGAAAAGAAGAAGAGTAATAGCAACATTAAAGACATTCTGCACTGCACACGGCTACAGTGACAATTGGTTGCTTGCATGTAGATGATGCTGCATGTTTCCAGGTGATTTTCAGTGACAGTCTTTGGAATCGTTTAAAGCTTTGGGGTTCCTTTTGTCATGCCCCTGCCCTCCCACTGAACCCCAAATACTTCAAAGATAGGTGATTGAATGAATGAATGATTGAATGATGACATCACTTGAAATGAACCCCTCCTACACACATCAAAGTCCACTCCCCCTTATTCAACCCGCCCTCATTTTAAGTCCACTGGTTACTGGCAAGCAGGATGTTGGATCCCACCCATCCTCCTTCCGTCCCTCTCGTGGTTGAACCAGATCAGATATGGATGACAGGAGCCACCAACACCCCAATTTTCTAATCCTCTGACATGACATGCCACTTGGCGATCTGGCGACGCGGGTGGTCGCAGATCTCCCTCCAGTGCTCCCCGGGAGTACCTGCCGCCGATGTGCCCAGTACAAGGCGCCCAATGACGGTGTTGGGGCAGCGTGAGTTGCCCATGTCTGAGTCCATCAGCAGTAGCTCCACGCTGGTGTCCCTCAGGCCCTCTTCGGAGGGTAGATCGAAGACAAAGAGCTCATTAAACACCGGGTTAGGCGAGCTTTTCTTCACATGGGTTTTCTTCTTGCACACGCGTTTCTTTCCATGATACATGTTCACCTTGACATATGGATCTGGAGGAGAAGAACGATAAGAGTTGAGCAAGAAAAGCCACAGCGACTATCCATGCCTGCGGCAGCTGCAGAGTGGCACATTATTTCTAAACCAGATCAATACAGCAATCAATAGAGCGGAAATGATGGATGTTAGTGATGAGGACAAAAGAGGCTGGCTGTGTAAACACTGTGTGTGTATGTGTGTGTGTGTGTGCTTGTCACTAAAGTGCTCTATCACATCCTGATCAGATTACTTTGGTGCGGTGGCGGTGCCATTAGTGCAACTATCACAGCATCTAAAGCAGTCTGGGATGCACAGCAGGAAGAGCAAAATGATTTTGGTTTCATCCCTTTACCGTTATGAAGAAGAAATACATTCAAGCCTGCAGTTATATGGACATGGTTTGCATATTAAACTGGTTCAGTTAAAAGCCCGTGTACCTGTAGGTCCATTGTTTTCAGTCTTGGGGAGGTGGCGAGCTTTGAGAACAACTACAGTCAGAGTGTTGGTGGTGGACTGGTAACACAGGGACAGCAATAACTCACCACGACCTGAAGATTTCTGTGGAGAAGAGAAGAATGGATAAAGTTAAAAAAAAAAAAGCAAAAATCGGCAGAGCAAACAGAGCAAACATTTGTAAGTGAAACTTACACTAAAGAAACCCTAAATCCAGCCTGTCCTTTCATGTTTTCCAATTCTACTTAATAAGCAGACATTTGTAAAGTTGTTATTCGGTTCTCAAGTTAATACATTTAAGTAGGTTAAATTAATCAGAAGAATGGATCCACTTAGTATGTATTAAAAGAATTAACACAATAGGGCGTGGTAGTTATTAAATAATGAATAACCTACAAAATTACGAGCTACAAAACAGTTTGTGGTGCTGCTGCTGCTTCCCGTGCAGCAAATGGTGCCAGTCCTGACAGCTTGAGACACTGCCGGCTAAATAATCATCACCTGCTTATGTGGTAGATTTTCATATTTAACACACACAAAATGTGTCACTGAGAAGCTCCCGATCTTCTCTACAATTTGTTGCTGCTGTCACAGTTTGCTCATGCACATACACATCCATGCCCGCGCCCCGTGAGAGTCGGCACCTCAGATGGTTGCGATCGCACCTTAGAGGCTCGCAGTCTCATGGTTGCCACAGCAACGAGAAGTAGCACACAGACAACTTCTAGCAATGACCTGATGTTCAGGTCTAAATCCAAAAGGATTGCCTGTATTTTTAGTCTAATTAGTTTGTTTATTTGTGTATTAATGTATTTATTGTTTCTGTACTTCCAGAGCGAAAGCATGTTGGTGATGCCTGTGTCTCTTATTTTCTGGTGTATTGATTCTTTAAACTACTGGGTGGTCACACATACACAAAACTACACAAAGCAGTGAGACAAAATCTATGTCACACAGACAAAGAGAGCCACCACCCTGTAAGGCATGGGCTGCAACTTTTAAGAAACAACTGCATGCGTCTCTCATGCTGATGTGGAGAAAATGGTTCTGTTTAATTATTGTCCCTTTGTGCACTGTAAATCCATGTTACAAGACCAACAAGCTGCGTTCTCCGCCCTTTTATTTGCATATGAAATGTTTCTCATTCTGACAAGTTCAGCTGCGGCATAGCAAATAAATGAAAGAGATTAAGGATTCTTCAGCAAAAGAAGCCAGAAATAACCTGCAAAGCAATTTCATGAATTCAAAAACTAATTTTTAGCTGATTTCACAGGTTCTTATTCCCCCTTACTATAAAGCTTTGCGAGATTTCTCTCCTCTGGGACCCAGATGAGAAATGGAATTGATGAAATACAGTTTGTCTCAGCATGGGGTGAAGAGAAGAGAGATAAGAAATCTTATCCTCTTGAAGAGAGACGAGTGGAGATGGGATAAAACCTTTATACTTCACAGACTTCCATTTCCTAGCACTTCCCTAGAGTACGATATGGTACCAGAGACCATTAAAGACATTACACGTAGCTCATATTCCTTTTGAGAAACTACAAATATGCATGAACATATCCACAACTACCACACAGGGAAAGAGCTTCCATTTTAGAAGAGCACAATATCACCTCACACGTCTATAATTACACAATGAGAGATGCTCATGCATGGCCATACCATTTAATACCAGTCTATAGAGTGGTGCTCTATACTATACCACAGACCAATGATAAGCACAAGGATATCCTTTTACTTTTATTTAATTTAGCCAAACCAGGAATCATTTAGGCTAATGCATTTAGAGGAAATGAAGACATAATGTACTCATGGGTGTCAAAGTACTCAATACATTAAATGACACTTATAAACATTACTTCTGCATGTTTGTGGTCCTCACAGATGCCAGGAACAGCAAGCCTGGACCGCCTGCCCACAGATCTATAATGATGTAGTGTTGTTATCGTCTGACCTTCGTGGAATGGGAAATGTCGCCATGATAGCCTGGTTCACAGGTTGCCATTACCGTTTTAACTGTGTGATGCACTAAAGGAAAGGTATGTAGGGAGGATGTCATGTAAAGCAGTTCCAGCTGTTAAATGCAATGAGCAGATGAAATGACGTAAGAAAATAACGAACCCTAAAAAGCTGATGAAAACGTAAACAATAAATAACCAAAGCATCCTTGTATCCAAAGCAGCTCCAGTGTCAACTTGCAAATCCATATTCCTGTAACAGATCTCATCTCTCTCTCCACAGATATATACCCTCTCTGCTTTCTCCTCTGGTTTCACATGATATTAAAATCATTTATAAACCAACTAGAGGCTGTTATGATAGTTATTCCTCTGGTATATACCAATGAAATGTTAATTTAAAACTTCCATCGAAGATAGAGATCACACACACGGAATGAGATTAATCATTTTTATTAAGAGAATTTGGAATCGATAAAATGGTGGGCTTGCATTTGAATGATTTACATATTATTATATTTTAGTATTTAAATGACTTTTAAGATTATTCATTGATTAATATGGTAACAGTGGAAGTAATCAGCTTACTTTGCTGAATTTGACTAAGCTGTTCTGCTGTAATGCTTTTAGGGAGTGGTGGTGTAGACAGAGATGGTGTGATGAAAAAAAGCTGAGTCACTATCAGAGCAGTTGTAGAATTAAAATTGAGCTCACTGAATGACTTTATACATGAAATACAACACTAAGGCTTCAAACATTTGTTCCAAATCTTACCTTGACATTTTTCTTGATTATCTCTCGGCTCATGAGGACACGCCCCTCGGACAAGTCGATCCCAGACAAGGGAACAAGGGTCTCGCCGATGACTTCATCACGAGAGAACCGGTCAAAGCTCAGCACCATGAAGTGAAGGGCCAACTCTGACACACGAGCAAGTGAGATGCCGTAGAAGCTGAAGGTCTCATCAAAAGTGGGGTCTAGAGTTTTTCGCAAGACTCTGGTCTTCACCCTGTGCTTTTTTTCCGGCAGTAGGGTCAGCTTGATGTAAGGGTCAGAGGTCAGCGACTGCTCGTCAGTTGGAGTCAGACCATGGGCTTCCTAGAAAAGTGAAAACAATCAAGTATTTAAGACTGTATGTATTAAAAATAAGTATTACTTTAAATGTTTTAAAAATAATCTTAAACATATACAGTACCTTGATATGAACAATGAATGCCTTCCTCTCTTCCTGGTATTCAAGGGAAAAGTGGAGGGTCCCTAGTCCAGCCTCCTTGTCTTCCCCCTGGGGCCTGTCCACAGCCGGGGTGGGTGCTTGGCTGGAGAGAGTACTGGATGGTGAAGGCAGGTCACGGCGGTCCATCACACCAGGCTGGGTGAACCCTGCATGGGGAGAAGGCAGCTCCAGATCTGGGGAGCTCCGCAGCTTCTGGTGGTGATGAAATGGTTTAGTGGTAAAGTTGCCATTCAGATCCCGTTTCTCCAGGTCCAGATGGAGAGTTGGCCTGGAGCCATTTGGGCTTGATGCCAGTTTGTCTGTGCCAGCTGCATTCACTGGTGGCGCGGTGTGGCAGTTTCCATTGACATCTGTTTTACTGGTGTCGTTAGCTGCTGTGGTGGGAGGCGCAGCAAACTTTTTCTTGCCACTGAGGCTCTCTGGGTAAATGTCGACTCCTTTGAGCATGTGCACAAACTTGTACGGAGGTGTCTTCTGGGACTTGGTGTTTTTACGCTGGCAACAGATCCACGCAAAGGCTGACACAGTGAATACGAGGCCGAAGACACTCACCACAGCAACACCTACTGGCACTGCCACTGTGGGGGAGGAAAGAATGAAGGGAAGGACAGCGGGGGTGTGGGTGGACAGATGGAGAAAAATAATTCAGCAAAGTAAAATTAAAAATAAAAACTTAACAAACTAAGCAGCAACTGTAAAACAATTTCTATCTCACAGATTTTATTGTTACACCGAGGCAAGTGAGTCCATTTTGTGATTCTGACTAATGCAGCTGCAGCCTTGACTCAGAGGGAGAACAACGCAATCTGTTCAACTCTGATCAAATCTCAGCATCACTGTTTTCAGAATCCAAACATGGTTACTCTTTATGAACAGGAAACAGGTGGAAAAATAATGAACTTATGGGAAAACTACACAACGTCTTTTGTGACAAGGTGCTCTCTCCATAGCAGCTTTATAAAAACAGCTAAACTCAGATCCAATCATTGTCACAAAAGCATTATAAAGATCAGTGTACACTATTACAAGGAAACAGGCAGAAATGTTGAAAATTCAAATATTTGCAGTGAGAATTTAATACATGTGGTTTGGGCAAATCCTTATTTCAACCAGCTGGGTGGTCCTGATTTAGAAACAGTACTTAATAACGCAGATATCTTTAGTCATACTCATCAAGGATGATGGTCACTACTATTGGATTACTAAGGCATATTTAGGGACCTATTTCCTGTCAGTTTTCCTTTTATGGTATTGCCGGAGACAGAGATATTTACAAGTGAATGCTTCAGTTCTTTGTTTTGCAGTGCTGAGCTGTGACTCACCATCAATCAAGCTGCCTTGTCATGCTACCAGATTTAAAAGGGTTGCCTCGCAGAAGAAAATGCATACCATTTCCTGCAATTAAGCAGGCGACATAGTGGAAAAGCACTCAGATCAGCCCATAAAAAGAAGGAAGAGGTGTAAGTGGCAAGGTGGTGGTTGTGGTAATCAATCACTCTGATACTTATCTTTAAAATCTGCCTTTTCATATTGTCAACACAATCATGGCTCTGCTTTTGATAATTTGAGAATCAGTACAGTATCACTAATCACACTTTCCTAAGACAGCTTTGTGCTGGGTTATTGTAAAGCAAATGTGTTCTGTTAACACACAGCAAGCAATAAGAATATATAGTTCCCTTCTCACTTAACCCTAAATAATTAATATGTAATCTTCTTCTATGGGATTGGGGTGATCTAATAATATTGCAGAGATTTCCATTCATATAGTTTCTTAATATTGTAGGCTGATTTTGCTCTGGCAACTGTGTAATAATCTGAAAATACAACGAAATTCACTTTATCCACGAGTAAGCAGTTCACTTCACTTTTAGATCACAGCACTTATACATATTGTTTTCTCTGCTTTTTTCATGAATATTTCAGCCCAGTAGCATCCCTGGTGGATGGCTTTCAAGGCAGCAACAACAGACAGATGGATGAGGCAACGGGAGGGCAGTGAGGTAGCAGCTTGAAACCGAGAGGAAAATAAAGAAAACAAACAGGTGCTTTCCTGGCTTTACCTGCGTTGTAGTAACACCTAGAATGCAAAAATAATGACTTCATTATTGCACCCATTAATATCGCACTGAATAATGAGCTCCACCCTTTCCTGATAATTAGCTGTCGCCCTTTGGCCAGCTGCAAAATGGAGGAATGAAGTCCACCCAAACACGTTGTTTTACGACACACTGCGCGAGCCATTCACTTTACACTAGTTACACGCCCTACAAAATAGCAAACAACGAAGAAAAAAAGAAAAAAAAAAAAGAAGCCGACATTTAGAAAGTCAGCTAAATTTGAAATCCATAAATTAGCTTCTGCCACTTCCAGCCAGTGCTAGCTACAATTTTAGGATGAGTCACGCGGCAGCTAACATCCACGGTGGGGTTTTCTCGATGAAAACGATATCCGTGAAGTTTGAGCAGGATTTGGACTCACCGAGCTGAGCTCCATCCTCCACCATTGGAGCCATGCGCTATCCAAGGTGGCTGAACAATGTCCGTCGCTTCAACGCTTCAGCTTCGCGCTGCTTTCTGTAGTAGCCGCTCCTCTGATGCTATGCTCGTGCGGTTTTTCTCAGATTTTATTAATAATACAAAAGTCTTTGTAATGCTTCAATAATTAAAAAACAAACAGGATTTCCCAGAGAAAGTATGGGGATCTCTGTTCTCAGCCTGCTGCTGTTACTCCCGTGATGCGTGAGTGTGTCTCTGAGGCGGCAACACCCCGTTCTTCTCTCTCTCTCACTCTCTCTCTCACTCTCACTCTTCCCTCTCTTCACTGTCCCCAGCCCCCTCCCCTACGGTAAGGCTGAGCTCATCATGCTGACGCAGTAGTGACGGAGGCTGGCTGTGAAATCAGGACCCCCGGTGAAGCAGCACAACAGGGTGCCAATTTCCTAATTGATTGCTAGGAATGAACATCTCCTGTGCTCTTCTTCATCCTGTTATGTGATGTGTTGTGTATTGTAAGTGTTGTGTGTGTGCATCCTTATCCATAAGAATACTGTTTTGTATTTGGTCATATCATTCATTAACATAACTGAGATTATTATCAGTTATGCTTTACTCTGAAAATCATAATTTTAAGTAAAAGGTATTATATTAACAGTCCTGTAGGGCTATAGCAACCGCTATAGAAACAACAGGAAACAGAAAACACAATAATAGAAACTACGAAAAACAATTGTTTTATAAAGTCTTGACCACAACAAAACTTATCCACTAGGATAATGTACGTGAAAAATACCAGACAGGTTATAGGAGCATGATGTAGGCCCTGCACTGAGGGTCACCTATGGTTGCTGAACCAATTCAGTTGCATGAGAGAAGACAGCTGACAGGAATTGACTTCTTAGATAGAATCTACATTCCCGAAATCTTCAATGATGTTATACGCATGATGGACACTTTGTCTGAAATAGTGAAGGAACCAGTGAAAGATTTTCCACCACTGCTGGATTTAATGGATGACCTAAAGACATTCATGGAAGCAGGCAAGACTACATAATAAAATCATTGACAATTCAGCTGCTGAAATCAGCGACTATGAAAAGAAACTAAGTGTGTGATGAGCAGATAGCACACCTAGAATGCCAAAAGAACTGTAAGTTATCATCATTGACTTTCTCTCATATGTACTCACTGTATCTCTAAAACCTGTCTCAGCCTGACTTTGAAGTTCTTTAAAGTAGTCTTGGATTTTTTGATTCAGTGAGCAAATCTGTTTGAATTTGAATTTGTATTGCATTACATTACAAAGACCTTTATCATAAATAGGAATTTTTTTTTATCACATCCCATGCTGAATTGCTCATTCTATACTCCTACATAATTTTTATTTCACTGGTAAATATTTATTGATTAATAGAGAAAGATCACCACACTAAATAAAAATGACAAACTGACACTAAAATTATTAGCACCCTGGACTGCTCTGTTTTTAAAAAAATAAAAATGTCTCTAATATTGATTACTCTCAGGAGCGTGTCATAAACTCTGGAAAATGTGCATCAATACAAAAAGGCTGAAAAATTAAGCTTGTTTAATGTTCAGCTGCTTTTTAAACAAAGAGACACCTTGACTACTTTCCAATAACCAGTAAATTTTTTGTGTAAGACTCTATGAGTTCATGAATTAGTGATGTTAGGTGGAAAATGCATGATAACACAAGAATAAACTTTAGTATACACAATAATTGTATTAGAATTACGTGTTGTTCTTAGTCGTATCATAAAAAACTACACACATAGACACCACATTCTTCACTATGGCAACAGCGAGTCCCTTGCATCACAGAGCCCAGTAATACAATGTACACTCATAGTAACCCACTAAATTATCCACTCATCTAAAGACCATTCTATAATCATTTGTTCACTAATTACTGGATTTTCATCTTCTCTTAACTTGATTATAAACATTTACGGAAAAAGTTTTATCGCTGAACAAGTCATTTAATACTCTATGTACTTGGTGAAAACTAGCTCACTAAACAAACACCATTCATTGTAAGTTTGCATTGTACTTGCTATGTGCTTTTGTACTTTGTGTATGTGCATATTCTATTAAACACTATCTTATAGACATTTGTGGTGCAATCATTTATTAAAGTGACTGTCAATTTACCCAGTTTTATGTTCAGTGCTGCGAATAAAGGAAAAGCGAGTTTAGTACATTGCTATTCCCCAATCACATTACCAGAACATAAAAACACAAAAGCCTTCCTTGTGCAGCTCAAAATATGCATTCACTGCAGAATTCTATTTGCAAGAGCTCCAATGTGTAGTGACCAGACAAGAGCATCCATTATCTGCAACCCCAGGAACTTGGTGCTGCTGAACCCCTCCACTGTGGCATTGTTGAGAGGAGTAGTGTAGACTGTGCAGCTTCTCCTAAGTTAGTTTACACTTCATTAACCACTGTGCAAGAAGGCCTCCATGCCTCTTTTCTTTGTGATCCAAAGAACACTTGAAAAAGGAACTTTTTATTTGAGAATTATTTGAGAAACTGTAAGAATCCTACTGATGTTCGGCCAGAATGTACATGTCATGTTTGTTGAAATCCAAAACACAGCATATGAAACAAAAGCCTCGTGGCGACTGTGTAGCACAGTAGCAGAGAGTGATACATTTTGTTTTGACTTGCATCATTGATCGACCGTGAACTGCTTATACCAAGTCATACCAGAGTCAAATGTTGAGAACATATGTCTACAGCTACAGCTCGGCTGAATTGCTCATGCAACAATACAGTTATCCTAAGCACAACAGCAAATCTACATCAGAATGGTGGATAAAGAAAACCAGTCAAAGTCCACAGATCAATCCGCTGGGCATAAACTAACACCCCCAAGCCTCAATGACGCACCACTGTGAAGAACTGGGCCAAAAATACTCGATATGATGTGAAAGACTGATAAATCATACAGAAGACATTGAAGCAAAAGAATGCTCTAATTTTTTCTGCTGTAAGACTGAGTTGGAGCCCTTAACTACTTCTCAAGCTTTCTGTCATCCACTACTATCATCTATCAATTAAAAGGGATTGCTGTTGGGCGTCTCCATAGCAACTTTTTTAAATGTCATGTTAATAACTAATCTGCCTCTATTCCCGTTGATTGGATCAAACATACTCAGTGAAAAATGAAAGTAAAAGGGCAGCTCACGCACCTGAGATATAACACAGTATATAACGCATTTACAGCATGTCACCTCATTATGTTTTCAGCCCTCTCTTGTGCATACAGCAGTTCTTCCCCATTAATCAGGTAGGCAAGATCAGTAACACGCTACAGTAAGATGGTTAATATTTAGTAGATTTATATATTATATCAATAATTAACAACAGGAAAAATCCATTTGATTCTTCCTCATCAATAATCCTCTGTCATTTTTTCTCAATTGATACATCTCTTTTTCCAGCAATGGCACCATCAACTTTGTCCAGAAACAGAGGAATGACTGGCCGTCAGAAACACCAACAGATTGATTTTATTCATCTCTCTCTGCTTCCCTGCTTATGTTGCAAACTCACTGAGCAACAAGAACTTTTGGTAAATGAATTCTTGCTAAAGCTCTTTTACACTACAGCAGTTACACCTTTATGTCACTGCAATCACCATGAGCTCATTGAGGTAGGCATTTTTTATGTAGGCTGAAGCAACTGAAACACTACAACCCGATTCTGGAAATTTCAGGAATTCAAAGAAAAACTTCGGAAAGCAGAAGAAAATGCAGCCAAAATGAAGGTAAGTCAGTGAGTTCATGTTGATCACATGTCCAGTGGAATTTGAAACAAGAAATGCATATTAGTCATATCTTGTTGATGTTGACGTACAGTGAGAGAGCACACAATACATATACCAGTAAATCTGATCTGTGTCCGAAATGTTTTTCATCAGGCATACAGAAAAAGCAACATCCTCACAAGAACTGGATGAAAAAATGAAGCAGCTTCATTCTTTTATGGAACTAATGAAGACATCGTCATGGTCAGAGGATTTTCCACCACTGGTGGAGTTGGCAAACAGTTTGAGTCGCTTCATTGACAAAACCAAGGTTTGGTTAAAAAAGCAAGACGACAGCTTCGCTGCGGCAGTAATTGAAAATGAAAAGGAACTGGAAAATCTGAAGAACGTCCTACGATTCCTAGAGGAGCAAAATGATGAACTGTAACAGTTTCCGTGTAACTTCTTTGAATTAAATATAATATAAAATATTGTGTTTACACATTGGTTTAGAATCCTGAGTAATTATTATTATTATTATTGTTGTTATTATTATATTTCTGGTTAATAAGGTGGTCAGAACTTCTATTTTAAACATTTTTTAACTTTATTTTGCTTTTACTGTTCCTGACTGTTTGTTTTCTGTTAAGTAATAAAACCTTTACTTATTTATACACTTAAATTTCACAAGTATGAAATTTATGTATTTCAAAAAAGTAGATCAAACTTAAATTAATATGTCCATTACATGAAATAACTATGTATGCAGCCTCAACACGTGACGGGTGTATTCTCTGCAAAACTGATACCAGAGCTCATTGAGCTGATACAGCTTGATTTTTACATCTAGTCGTTGATATTATAGTTATTCATTAATGGCACTGTCTTGTTTTAAACTAATTGCTCTGTTGGTGATTCATTGTGGTACTTTAACGTTAATTCTACTTAACTTGTCAATGAAACCCTGTAAAATTACTTTAATCATCTCCAAGTTACTACCCAATGGTAATAAAACCCAGTTAAATTAGCAACACTAGCTTTCACATGTTTTATCTGAATTGTAGAGATTTATGCACGCATCAGCCTCTTTTAAGCTGCTTTTAACCCCTCAGGGTTATTACTGGACATCCATCCATCCACTTCCGCTTATCCTTTTCAGGGTCATGGGGGGCGCTGGAGCCTATCCCAGCTGTCATAGGGCGAGAGGCGGGGTGCACCCTGGACAGGTCGCCAGTCTGTT